GTCGGAATGTTGGTGTGTTGCTTCTATTTAAAACTACCAGTCCTTGCCTCGATGCCATCTCCATTATGAGTTTGCCTCTTCTGTTCGGAACTGACATGCCCCACTCAACCGCCCTAGCGTTAAAATCTCCTGCAACTATCTTTTGACCCATCATTCCATTTATGGCATCCTCCAATGCCTCCAGGCTGCGCTCGTAATTTTCCATTGGCTGGTTTGGGGTGAAGTAACAGCTGAATAAAACTAGACCGCGACTTCTGATCCATACATAACTATTCCCTGCTCCATGGTCCTCTACTGGCACCGCTACTGGATCCGTGACCCATATCGCAGCGGTGCCCGTCGAATCCGAATACCAGTCCTGGTGATCTCCGTTCCTGTATTGTTCACTTATTAGTACCACATCCGCCCCCTTCTCGATTTTTAGTTGGGCGAGGAGGTCGTTGGCCATTCTGCTCCTATTCGTATTGCCTTGTAGTACTCTAATCATCGCGACGTTTTTTAACTTTCTCTAGTGCCACCCTAAAAGCATTACATCTACCCGTCCCCGATATATGGTCCGGATCTACTTGCTTCATTTCGGTACACAGCATGCATACCGGATTTCCCTGGCATTCCTTAACTTTGTGGCCCCTACGTCCACATCTATAACAGAGGTCCGCCCGATCGACTCCGTTGCAATTGCTCCTTATATGGCCATAACAAAGACACCTGTAGCATCGCTTTACCTCTGCCCTTTCCCTTACCCTGCAGTTTATCCATCCTATTTTCACTCTACCCGCTCTAATAAGTTCCCTAGCGTATTTGGCCTCCATTTCTATTATTGCCAACCTCTGCTCCCTTCTATTCGGTCTTGTCAGAGTCAGCTTGTACTCCGGCTCCCGCCCAAGAGCGTCCTTCAGCGCGGCCCTTACCTCTCCTTCCGTTGTAAGACAATCGAGGTCCCTTATTTCCAATGGAACAGTCGGAGTCAAGCCCTTTACCACGGCCGTCGTGCCCAGCACATTCTGTAAGCTCCTAACAAAATCCCGCTTATCTTTGGTCTCATTGGACATCTCCACAAGGACATCCCCTCTTTGGGTTTTTCGGATGCCACTGATGACTGCTTGTGACGCTCCAGGATCCACATTGCTCCTAATATCCTTTAATATTTCCGCATATGATTTCCCTTGCCCGGGTCTAATTAACAATGCCTCTGGCCTGGTTTTAGGCCGTCCATTGGCCCTGCGCTTTCTCGAAGAATCCCTTTGTTTTTTCTTCTTCGAATTGCCGGCAAAGCCAGCCCGGCCAGGAGCCCCCTCATTTTCCTCAAGTACCAACACGCTCCCGGGCTTTCCTTGCCTCCTCGGCACCAATTGCCATTCTTCTTTAGAGGCCCTCCGTAGCCTCTTCTGAGCCGACTGTGGCTCCGGGGCCGTAGCTGGAGTCGGGCTCCAACCTCTCGTTCGCTTGTTGAAGATCGTACATGGCGGCACCATCCTGGGTGTTCGAGCGAGTTTCCCTCCCTCTTCTCCTTATAATTTCGACTTTTCGCGACCTACATTGTCGCATCTTCTCAATTGCCCCTTCGAGCTTCACGAGTCCGTCCTTAATACCCATGCTCACGTTTTTTTGCACAGTGGCTGCTTTTAACATCATATCGATGACATTCTGCATGACCGTGAGCTGCTCGTCCTCCGTTTCTTCTAGCCGGGCAGCCTCATCCACCTCTGTGTACTCGCTCCCAGTCTTTAAAAGATCCGCCTCTTTCTCTTCACTTAGATTCTTTCCTATAATATTACCTGTTTGCTCTGGTGACCGGGCTAGCAGTCTACTACGCCTTAAAGGATATGTTTTCGGTGTTCCATCCACCATAATAACCTCGATATTTTGCTTGTTGAGGTACGTTGTTGTCCTTTGGCCTACTGCTGCTACATTCTTCTTCCTCGACGTTGCCGTTGTATCTTGGGTATCCTGTTGCCTGTTTGCTGTTGTCGTTGATCTCTGCTGCGTTGATTTATTTATAAAATGCAATAACTGATCCCCCCCAGAATCCGTGGGATCGGTCTCCGAAGAGAGTGGATTCTCCAGCAGAACTGGATTACCACCTGGGGTAATAATTTCTTTTGTTTTATTCATTGCATAAGTGTTGAAGTTTGAGCTCTTTGTTGTGAAGTTGCTCCTCTCCGTCTAAGAATACGGCCGCCCCTATGGGGTACAGACGCCGACCAAGTCGCCGCTCATTATGAGTACAGACGCGCTTGGAATTTTCCCGAAGTTTGACGACTGCGCGTCCCATTGCCGAAACCCGCACGACGCTGACGCACGCACCCATCCTACCCCCCCAACAGCTAGCTGGTTTTAAGCGCCAGCGATTCGCATTTCACCCAGTCTCGTCGGCTCTACCGTGGTAGATTTCCAGGGGATACCCGCCAGACAACTATGTTGCCTACCTTCGAGGAGGTGAGACTTGGGCTTGTTGGCAGAGCTGCTCCCATCAGACCGGCATTTCCTAGCATTTACCGCAAGCACGTTGGGAGTACTTCCGGACTAGGACCGATACCAACTTTTATCCCCCGATAATGATAATAATAATAATAAAAATAATAATAATAATAATAAAGATAATAATAATAATATTAATAATAATAATAATATATAATTTCAAAATGTTTAATTCTAATACATTCATATGTACATACATATATGTATGTGAATAAAGTTATTATTTTGATTTTGACTAAACCTTTTCTTTATTTGAAAAATTAATTTTTGTATGTTTACCCCCATGATTTAATTGATATCTTTACATCTAACAAGTCCCAGTACTCAATTTTTTTACGAAATATTACGAATTTTTGGCTTTGTTCCTATGTTTTTCTTTAAATGCTACATATCGTGTCATATTTCTTATTATTTTTTTCTTTTTTTTACGTAAAAAAGAGTTTAATATTTTAAAAAATTTCAGGATATTATACACATTTTTAAAAAGCTTCCCATTTAAACTCTATTGCATGAAAAACAAAGAAAGGTAGGAGGAAAGAAAAACTGAAAAAAATTTGAAATTCATATTTCAGTATGGTTTCAAATGTTAATGAGGAAGGATGTATGATTTTTCATGCAAATTTTGTATTTTCCAATAATGTAAGTTGAGTAGGGTCGGCTAACAAAAATGTTAATAAAAGTAATGTAGGTTGACACATTTCAACAATTTCAATTATCTCATTTCGGTTATTTATAATACTCATTAATTTGTTTCAAATAATTTCAGTTAGTTTTTAAGTTATTTAAAATAGATACATATGTATGTGTGTACCTACGTCCAATCAATTTTTTTTAAATAATTATTTTAAAACTATTTCAAACATGTTATATTGAGTGCTTAAAAAAGTTTGTTGTGCATTTCTTTCATATTTTATTAGCAGGTAAACAAGAGTAATCTATTTATAAAATGGCCCTGCTTGTCTATGAATCTTAATAGTAAACGCAAACGGATAAAAATTTACATCAGTACCTTCTACCTGTCATTTTACAATCGGAGTTTTTGAGTCATTTGCTAAGATATAATATTTATTTGAAAAAAAAAAGATATTCGAATCCGGTCATAAAAATATGTTATTGTCTTTTCCAAAACCTTTTAAATATTTTTTTACTTAGGTAATATATTAAGTTTTAAAAAATTTTCTCACAAATTGAGGTAAAATTTAGAAGTGTATAGAAAATTTGTATTTAAAAAATAATATTTGATTATATTATATTTTAAATATTATTTTCTAATTTCCTCTTCAAATTTATTCTCTACTACGTATTTATATCAATATTTCATAATTTTCTTCCATTAATTATATTTCAACTTGACACCACAGTTACTTCCCATATCTTGAGTTAACTTACCCTATGAGAAAAAAAAAATCTGTTCACTTAAAAATAATGAAATGCTTTCAGTAACATATGAAACGTTGAAGGCGAAGGTTGTGCTTGTTGTTTTTCCGCTGTTTCAAGAATTTTAAAATAATTATGAATGAAAATATTAATATATTTTCTTAATTTTTCAAATATATTTTCTAAATTTTACCTGCTTTATAATAAGTGTGAATTTATTTTAATATTTCTTCTCAAAAAATAGCCACTTCGATTTAAAAAAACCCATATAAAATAACGTCGTCCTTTCAAGTTTCTCTCTGAGCATTGGGACTTGTTAGATATAAAGACATTACATTCTTTAATCTCCAAAATTGAAACAGTCTGAGCCACTTTCTGAAATTTCAAAACCACAATTTATTTTAAGCTCATGTAGGTATGCAAGTCTGTAAATACCAATAAATGCATTTAGTTTAATAAAAGCTTAAAATACATAATAAATAATATAAAAGCTTTTACACAAAATTTTAGACTGAAACTTTAATTTTCTCCAAATTTTTAAATGCAAGTCGAAACTTTTTTATACACTGTTTCATTTCTCAGTCTGTCTCCATTTCTACATTAGCCTTGAAGATAGAAAGCTGAAGTTTAACCTTTACTAAACCTTTACTAAAAACTTATTTCTGTAGAAAAAAGGGTTTACCTATCTCCTCCCTCTAGAAGTTATGCCACCCAAAACCTGAAAATGCCATTTTTTGACTATTTAATGTAGTGAAACCATAAACATTTTTTAAATTCTGCAAACACAGAACTTGATTCTCCTATCGCGACATACTATAGTTAAACTTGAAAAAAATAAAATGGCCGTTAACATTTATCGTTATCTAAAATCCATTTTTTTCAAATTTTTGATGTTGTTTTCTTCTAAATCCCAAAATTAACCCTTAAAATCGAGCATTATGTTAACCCCACTTTATATTAATTTTCGCTTTAGTTCAAAGACTGCATAAATCGTTCATCCAAAATATATGCAATCCCAGAAATAGGATTGTTGTTGATCGCATTCACATACCGGAATTTCTTTTTGTTTTATTTGAATTTCAAAATAATTTTCTTTAATACACGTATGTACAAATAATATCTTGAAATTATTTTCCATAAGAATGTCTTCAAATTTAGTTAGGCTCGGTAAAAGATAAAGTTTTAGATGTATATGGTGAAGGTTTTTTAATAGAAACATTATTTATCATAAAATTTGTGACATTTTCGGCTTTTGATTAGCTGTAGAAATATCTTTATTTTAAACAGGGTTTTTACTAATCTTAGTTTTATATCATTTATGGTTGAAGCCATTGTTGCTAAGTACTTGAAGAATATTACTGCTCTTCTCCTGGCATTCAAAACCGTGCAATTTATTCTACAAAATTAATATCAGGAATATCGTCAGGATTAAGAGAAATCTCGTATTCTTTTAAAAAGTCACTATATACTTTTGAAATAAAAACTCATCTGAAGCGGATATAGCTCGGTTTAAATCAGAGTTTCTTTTTTATTCAATGTGTTGTTATTGACATGTTCTTAGTGCATGTAAAAGGAACCTTTTTAAGTGTTTATTTTGTGTGGGTCTGCTTAAATAGCTTGATTTGCTTCGAATAATTGGAGGTGCAGTTTTTATTGCGTCTATATTTATTGTTTATGTGGCTATTCATTGTATGTTGGTACCTAAAATTTTAGTTTTCAAATTTCGTGCAAAAGATGCGAGAACTAAACGAACTCCGCATGTTCATTTCCCTTTCGAGCAAATTTTTTTAAAAAGATTTTCATTTTATTTTTATGAAATCTACAAATAGAACAAATAGATTTCAATAGCATAATAATTGAAACTATTTCTCAGTCTGTAAAGGTAACTACTGCCATAATCTATAGATCATCAGCAGATTGTAAATAGTTAATGGTAGTTACATATATTGATAGAATCAGCAAGATATAACATCTTTATATTCATAGTTTGCACGAATATTGAAACATTAAAACATTAAAGAAAATGAATAAAACAGGTAAACTAATTGAAAATGCAATAAATATGTAGTTATGAAGGAACAAATGTGTGTTAGCAAGCAAAAGCATGTATGTATTTCAGCTTGAAACACTGATCAATAAACATTCGTGGTGAGTTCGAATCTGTATTACAATCTAGATTTGTACTACGTGGTGAATTCGAGAACCGCCCGAACCAACCCGTGAATCAGTTTTCGGCTCATCAGTGTTCCATGCGCTCCAATTAATTCCACAAACTGGACCACTATGTCCCTATACTCTATACCCGTCGATCAGAAAACATCACAATCGAGGTTATACCGTGTGAGACAGAGGTCTTAGATGGACGGAGGTTCTTTATGCCGAGAACAGTGTCACAAAAATATATCTAAACTAGCCGTCCCCAACTTCTCGGTCAACCAGTAGTTTTGTATGACTTCCAAATGATTAAAGTGTATTAAAACCATCCGCTCCAAGTTTGCTTCCATCTTCAGTCATGGAGCCATCAGGTCACTATATTAGACTTAGCCCGAAGGCATATTTTTTTAGAAAGTACATTGTGTAATCTCGCGCTGCTGGGCAGTTTTCTGGATTGTTAACAGTAAACATATAAAAATATTTTGTTTCCATCTTAATAGCAGTTAAGGCTGAATCCTATAATTTATTTTGTATAGTAAAATTTTGAATAAGAGAGAAAAAAAGATCATAAAGAATAACTATATAAATAAAAATAACTAAATGAAATTATATAATTTTATTTTATTTACATACAAGCATCAAAGTTAATCATAATTCGTTGTCTTATCCCGCTGATGGAATTTTGATAATTTTAGCAACACCCTATATTTGTTAAATTATTTTTAGAAATTGAAGTTTTTTAACCTACTTTTATTGTATTTTCTTTTAATTTTTAAATTTATGTTTTTAGAAACTATGGTGGCAACACATTTGGCCATATTTACAACAGGAAATGCGTACTGCTGAAGTACTAGCTGCTGTGTTATTGCCTGTATTAGTGTTGGTGCAAGAATCAAAAATTCACGAATACGAAACATTCATTTTACCTATATTTAAGTGAGTAAACAAATTTTTACCGCTGCATTTTTTTATTCTTTGTTCAATGTCTTTCAACATAATACCATATCAAGAAATTGTAAGCTGTAATATTTTTATTTATAAATTTAATAATATCTATTTCCTCGTAAATTTTATGATTTAATGGTATCAATGATAACTAATATTAAATTTCTTTAGAAATTAGATACACACTTTGAAATATAAAATTTAGTATTTTATGTGTTTTATAATTTATTATTGAAACTGAAAAATTTTTAATGATATGCACTACAAATTTATCTTTTTTAAGTTTTGTTTCCATTGTGTATATTTTATCGGTAATACTGTGTCGTATGCTCAAATATACATCTTAGGAATAGAAAGATTGTACTTTTTGTTGAATATTAAGCCAAAAAATTTTAAATTTTCTTTTTAAAATCCTTCAGATTCATTTTACATAAAACTTTTGTAGATTACAAGTCCCTATATAATTAATTTTCGCTTAATTAAAATTTCTCTTATTATTTTAGCTAATTTTGCTAATATTTTCCTATTTCTTTTTAGTTCTGTATAAAATTTCTCTTCATTAGAGAAAATATAATCCAATAAAAATCTAACGATTTACCATCTAAATAAAAGATTTCCCAAAACATGTTACTTGCGTCATAGTCACCTAAAAATAAGGCTATCAAAAAACCCATTTTTCTAAAATATTATGGTTTATTCAATCTTTTTTTAAAAACTTTGATCATTTATCTAACAAACCGTGTTATCAAAGGTGTGTTAGAAAGCAACCTGATACCTTAAAACGTATACCAATGTTAAAAGGCGTTATTTAAGAAAAAATAATTTAAAAATTTTTAAAAATTCAGTTTTGAATTTTAGTCGTATCTGAATTATAAAGTTATTATTACACCATCTTTCTAGCACATATATGTCTCAAAATACCGTTATGCCTAACATAGTCAAAAATATAGCTTTTTTAAATAAAGTCAGCCAAAAAATATGTTGCCTTCAAAAATACCTACATCCCAAGCCGGTAACGATATAGAGGCATATTGAAACTTCTAAAAGAAACTTTTTTTTCCTAACGAAGATCTATATTCTGCTATATGTCAATGCATCACTAACGGAAAAAAGGCGAATATAAAGATTGTCAAAAAATATTAATTATAAATTTGTTTCATATTCTACGCTGAATGCTATATTCAAATAATCTTTCAAAAATTTCGTTAACACTGCTTTATCTAATCTATTTAAGAAAATGTTTATTAGTCAAAATGTCTTTATTTACATTACAGATATTTATTATTAACAATCATACCTGTGTATGATCACAAACAAATTCATAGTGACCAAATCAAGCATGTGATATTTCAACAGCACATAAAGAAATATAATGTTTTGACAACAAAAAAAAGTTGTTTAATGGGTAAATCGTTAAAATGGATGCAAAATTGAATAATTAACGGCCTACGCTATTAAAGAATAAATAAATGTCTTACAAAGTATTAAAAAAAAGAAATACTTGTAATTAATTTCTCCTGTAATAAATTCAAATTTTGTTAGATTTTAAAAAATTAAGAAGAAAAGTTTTTTAAGTTCTGATTTTAGAAAACAAATGCAAACTGCAATTCTTTTTCTCATTTTCTATTTCTTATTTTTCTCTTTTTTGTATTACTTATATTGACCGTTATTATATAAAAACTTTCACGCGCGATATACAGTAATTTCGTAAGTTATTGTAGTGTTAGTATTATGAAATTTGCTTGTCGATATTGTTTCGGACAATTTATAGTATGTAAAAAAAAATTTTTTGTTATCTATTAAATTTTTCAGGATTTCCTGATAGACTTCATCGAGAAATATTAAGCACACGATAATAATATTACAAGTCGTTTTACTTTACCAAAATTAACAATGTATCTCACAATAATTCATTTTCTTCGTGCCATTCTTAATTTTTGCTCTCGCCTTCTTCTTCGTCTTCAAAAAAAAATCCGTTGACAACATTATATGAAAAATTTGGCAAATTTTTTTTTTATTTTTAAATTATGCGGATGGCAGCGTTCATAAATCGAACAAAATTGTACGATTTACTTTGAAACGATTAAAATATGAAATATATTTGATTTGTAAACACTCAATCTAAACCAATTAAATCGTTTAAAAAAAATAGAATCTTGTCCTATTTCCCATCAAATTTTTTGACAGCTGAAACAATTAAAAGAGGTGAGTACTAAAACTTTCGATGTGTTATAACCAGACCCGGTCCTCCTTTATTCGTGGCCCTAAGCGGTTTCCAAAAAGTACGCCCCCTCCCCAATTTTTATCGTTCCACCTCTTTTAATACTGTAAACAAAATTTTATGAGCATTGCACATTGTGCATCATAAATCATTTTCTTGTAACCTTAACATGCTGAATACAGGATTAATTATAGAATTAAAGCCTGGAACTAAACTTTTAGCTTTTTGTTTTATAAGTTCAACAACAAGGTAGTTTAATTAACTTTATTTTATGCAGTTATGATTAGGTTTATTTCAATCACTTAAGAGCAAACATTTACTTTTTGGCGTAAGTGAAACTAAATTGTAAAAGGTTTTAAAAAAATAATATCAAAACAAGAACTTTTTCAAAGCTTATTTGAATATACAAAAAGTAAAAATTTATTTACTTATATACTTAAATGATTGTATATTCCGAAATTTTATATTTTTGATAAAAAACTCAATCATTGTAAACTTTTGTTCGTAATTTTAAATTTACACATGAAATTTTGCATTTTATTTCACAAATCATCTGAGAAATGAAACAGTGTATAAAAAAGGTTTCGACTTGAAACTAAGCTTTTTATGTTCTAGGTATAACCTTTTATATTTTTCATTATATTTCTTCATTATAAGATTCTATTAAAGTACATTTTTTAATTTTTAAAAGCTTTCACTGGTATTTAAAGACTTGCATACCTACATGAGCTTAAAATAAATTGTGGCTCAGACTGTTTTAATTTTGGAGATAAAAGAATGAAATAAATTATGCAGCATTTCATTTTGCTTTTATTTTTGGGACACCACATAAATTCAACATAAAATTCTTAACATACGCTTGATTATTAAACAAGATCTTTTCAATTCAGTACAAATAGTAGATATTAACAATTTATATTCATTGTGTGATTGATAACGTTCTTTAAAAATCTGATGTGGTCAGCACATAACCGACCACAATGTGTATTGTCTAGTTAAGTGAAAGTGTTACAGAATATTATAAAAATGTCTGTTAAATACTTCTTCCAAATTTTTAGGACAATCCTGATATCCGAATCCTGATATATCCCAAAATTGATGGATCCGTGCCATGGTCGAAATAAACTTACATATAAAATTTCATCAAAATCGGTTGAGTCGAACTTGAGATACACGCATGCACAAACAGACCGACAGGTTGCTAAAAATAGTTTGTTTACACTTCCCTACTATGGAGAAGTGCATTCCCACCGAAAACTCGATATGCAAAATTTGTTGCTATCACATGACCTACCTATTGTATACACTAAAAAGGGCGCCCCCTTTAAAACGTTTCAACTATTTTATTACTGTGAACAAAATTTAATAGGCATTGCAAATTGTGCATCATATAGCATTTTCTTGTAACCTTATTATGTTGAATTATAGAATTAAAGTCTGGAACTAAACTTTCAATTTTTTGTTTTATAAATTCAAAAACAAGGTAATTTATTTAAGTGTATGTTTTTTTATGAAGTTATGATCAGATTTATATCAATCATTTAAACTTGATTTTTTGATTCGTAATTTTAAATTTACGAATGAAATTTGGCTTTTTATTTCACAAATCTCCTGAGAAATGAAGCAGCGTATAAAAAAAGTTTCGACTTGCATTCAAAAATTTAAAGAAAATCAAAGTTTAGTTCTAAAATTTGTGACTCGAAAACTAAGCTTTTTATGTACATTGGTACAAGCTTTTATACTTTTTGGATGACTTACAGTACATCAATTCAACATAAAAATTCTTAGCATTCGCTTGATTATTAAACAACATTTTTTCAATTCAATATAAGTAGTAGATATTACCAATTAATATTTAATTCTGTGATTGATAACAGGTTTTTCAAAACCGAAAGCAAAACATAGTAGTAGAAATTCATAACGATCATGTAATTTTGAAATTCATTCAAAATTTTTTGTCCTTAAACAAAGAGAAAATATTGGTATACACAATTTTAATATTAAGCTATGCATTCCATTTTTTAAGAATATTGCTCTCATTCTCTATCTCTGATTTCTTTCTATTCTCATTCTTAATTTTTGTTTTTTTTTTTGTTCTTGTTTACTAATATAATAGTATACAGAAAAAGTAATACATTATAATAACGTGTTTGTTTGTTTGGTGAGCGGGCGACAACTAAGCATAAATAAAATTTTGCATATAACAATCTAAATATAATGTGTACGAACGGGTGTAGCCAGGGAGATCACTAAGCATAATAAAAATTTTGCTTTGTTATATAATTATATGTGTGCGAGCGAGTGTTGATAGGGAGCAATCTCAGCAAAATAAAAATCTTGCTTTATGAAATAATTATATGTGTACGCATGAGTGTTGATCTTATTCATATTAAGAAATATAAATTATGTGTGCATGTATATTTTTGAATATTTTTATTTTTTGCGTAGCTTGCTTCTATGTATGTATATTATATGAGACGATTTCACTTATGTATTTATAGGATTGAATGTGTACAGCCAGCGTTCCCACTTGGATACAATTGTATCCATTTGGATACATTTTTTGCTTTAAATTTAGCTTGGATACAAAGATACTCAAATCTGCTAAAATGCCGAAATTGGCTACATTTCAAAATTTTGCTGAAATATGGATACATTTATTCCCTAAACACTAAATAAATGTTACAAAACTGTTAAAATGCTGCTAATATTAAAACGCGTAATTGCTTTATCTTTCAAAAGTGTTATTTGCTGGCATTTCTAAGCAGAT